GTTATTACATTAAATAAATACTCTTTGCCAGATACAGAATAGGATTTTCATATTGTTATTAACAGTAACTATTTACTAAAACTTTTATTTCTAAAGGCACACTGAAGGTTTAAAAAAGCTATGACTAGCTGCCTGAAAAAAAAAAAACCCACTCTTTAGTAGTAAATTAATAGTAACAATACTTACTACATCAGCATCCCTCAGTATTTACCTTTTTAAAAATTTATTTATTTGAGAGAGAGAGAGAGCGAAAGCACAGGGGGGAGGGGCAGAAGGAGAGGGAGAGAGAGACTCAAGCCAACTCCATGCTGAGCATGGAGGCCGACAGGGGCTCCATCCCATGACCCTCAACCGAAACCAAGAGTCGGACGCTTAACCAACTGCGCCACCCAAGCACCCCAGTATTTACTTTTTTAGGGCTGCCATAAAGTACCACAAACTGGGTGGTTTAAAACAACAGAAATTAATTTAGCTACAGTCTAAAATCAAGGTGTCAGCAGGGATATGCTCCAAGACTCAGCAGAATCCTTTGTTGCCTCTTCCTAGCTTCGGCTGGTGGCCATCGATACCTGGCTGTCCTTTGTTTCCAGCGGATTCACTGCATCTCTGCTTCTGTCACCGTGTGGTGCTCTCCCTGTGTGTCTCTCTTCATATAACAGTTTTTCCTCTTCTTATAAGGACACCATTCATACTGGATTAGGACCCACCCTAATGACCCCACCTTAACTTGATTACATCTACAGTGACCTTAATTCCAAATAGTCATATTCACAGCTGCTGGGGGTTAGGACTTCCACATATCTTTTTAAGGGACATGGTGCAACTCACAGCACCCAGGATCCTTTCCTTGATCCAGCCTCCAGTGGTAATCTAAAATAGGCCCACCCCTAATGTAAAATTGTCCCAAGCTCTAAAATAAATTTGTCCCGGGGCGCCTGGGTGGCTCAGTTGGTTAAGCAACTGCCTTTGGCTTAGGTCATGATCCCAGGGTCCTGGGATCGAGTCCCGCATCGGGCTCCCTGCTCGGCGGGGAGCCTGCTTCTCCCTCTCCCCCTCCCCCTGCTGATGTTCCCTCTCTCGCTGTGTCTCTCTGTCAAATAAATAAATAAAATCTTTAAAATAAATAAATAAATAAAAATAAAAAATAAAATAAAATAAATTTGTCCCAAACCATGCCACTTCCAAAGGCAAGCTGACATCTTTTACCATAATAAATATCCACTTGGCAATCTAAGGTCATTAATCTTATGGGATCCATTTCTAAAGTACCTTTGCCTTTGATTTACATATCATGTAAATGGATAAATACTTTATACGCTCTTAATTCTTGTGTTCTATCTGTATGTCCCGTTCTTGTGTGTCTATTTTTGACTGTGAGCTCCCAGAAGGCAATGGCTGATTAATGCTTCCTTCCCTTTTTCCTGTTAAGCTCTTTAGAGGAGTTCCTACAGCAGAATTTTCTGGACGCCTAAAGATACCATCCTTTCAGATATAAGCAGCCCGGCAGGGTCGACACGGAGGGTGGTTTCACATGCAGCCGCACGTTGTGTTTGAAACCCTCTTCTACCTTCTAACTCAGACCTTCACCTGAATGACTTGAACATAACAGACTCTTCACTTCTTTATGAGGAATTTTATTTCAGATGTCCCATTGCCCTTCCCTTAACCTGGTTTCCAAGCCCATCCTCCTGTGAATCCATCAAACATTTCTCTATAAGACTAAACACCCAACACAGCCATGAACCAAATTATTTTCCACTGACACTCCTGGGACCTAGACGAATGAAGAGATACAGTTGAAAATTTGTTAAAGTGAGTATTTCCCTCATCATTATCATTATCATATCATAATCATCCCTGTCATCATTAACATTTATTAAGTGCTTGACAGCTATTTTTCTCCTTAAAAGCCCCATGAAATAGGTACTTGATTTTCCTAATTTAACTGATGCACAAGGAAAACTGAGGTACAAGGACATTAAGTAACTTGCTCAAGGTCACGCAGCTACGAAGTGGTGGAGCACAGGATTTCATGGCGACCGAGGAAGCTTTATCTGCTTGAGGACACAGGACTCCAGGAGCCCGTTACCTAACTTCACGTACTTGCAGCCGGTAGCTGAGGCCCATGTTGTGAAGAAAAGTTCTGTGTACAGGAAGAACAGACCAATAATGTGGTATTGGCCACAGGTTCTAGAGTAGTTGATAAACTCCTATTTGAGCGGGGAAACTGTGCTGAGGCAGAAGTAAGTGGGGGGAGGAAGAAAACCGAGTGACCACAAATGGCACTCTGGAAACTGCTCCTCCTCCAGATGACTCCAGCTTGCTCTTTGCCTAATTAGATGAGCTTTGTCTTCTTTGTTCTTACTTCACTTTATTTCTGAGGAATCATTTAGATACTTAATTATGCCAAAAATGTCATGAGTGAGCCAACACATAATACTTTGGAGAAAAGTGAAGAGTGAAATTAGAAATACTAGGGTTAAAATAATAGGAATATTAGTGCTAAAGGAAAACCGAAAGGAGAGAGGAGGAGAGGAAAGGAACGCTTTCCTCTCTTCCCTCTTCAGAAAGTGAACAAGGGCACGGAGAGGCCAAAGATGTTCATAAACGAAACAGTCTGTCCTTTCTTCTTTCTTCCTTCCTTCTCCACAACATTTATTTATACAATGAATTCAAAGTATCAAAGAGGAAGAGCTTTTGAGACTCACCCTGCCAAGAGAGATCTTGACACAATCTTTGCAAGTGAAAAGTCTGACTTTGGTTCTTCATACTTCCATCTTCACCTCGCCCGATCTGTTTTTTGGTGAATTTCTCCCCCAATCTCTTATTACGTGTATATGTTTATGTAATGAAGCTATCTGAATTGTTGAAGTGGACACTAGTAGATGCCATGCTAAATGTAAAAAGATGAATGTGGAAGGTGTTCAGAGGGTCACCATATGGCGGGAGCTGTTTTGGGTAAGTGAAATCTTTTAGTTGGTGCTCCTCAGGTCATGCCACGAAGCGTTGTGACCCCTGCCCTGACTTGATTTGTTCCCTGACTTCAGGCAGGAGGAAGTTAAACCCATAGTATATGTGACTAGCAAGAAGTGGGTGTACCGACCCTGATGACAGCAGTGTTTCTAAGTTGTCGCGTTACATATTCAAAACTTGCAGAGAAGAAAAAATAGTATATATTTATCATGGCAGGTATATACTGAGTCCTTACTAAGTGCCAGGTCTGTTCCAAGCCTGTCATTATCTCAGGTCTTCCCCTCAAGAACCTTGTGAGGTAGAAATTGTCAGGTTTAGTGTAGGAAATTGCTGATAACAGACTGTTTATAACCTATAAAAATGACGATTTTATATTTTAGCCTACTCTTATTATTCCATTTTACAGATGAATAAACTGAGGCTCATAGAGATTAAGGAATTTGCCCCAAATAAGTGATGGAGCCAAATACCTGAATCTAGGCAGTATGAGTCTTTCACCAGAGCCATGAGTCTGCAAAGGTGTTTGAAGGACATAGTGTACAACAGAACGTTTTAGGACAGATACATACAGATTTTTACACAGAATGTCTCTGAAAAGCTTTTGTTCTTTATCAAGGACAGATTCCCTCCTTGAATTAGTAATGCTTTTCCTTTTGATGTCAAATACTTAATAGAAAGCCAAAAATTTCAAAGGAAACATTACTGTAAAAAAAAAATTGTCCACTACTCCCCCAAAGGTTCTACTCTCCCAGTAATTAACCATTAATCACCTCTCTGGCCTTTATCAGAGTGATTCTGAGAATCATCATAGGACTCTGCCACCCTGGAAATGATTCATCCAGTCAGCCTGTGCAGTTTGTTGGGTGGTTCGATTTGTAGGAGGATAGGGGTTAAGTAAATCAACATTTACCTGCTCGAAGGGGAGATCTTAAGACAGAAAAAGAACACTGGATAAAAATTGAGGAAATCTGGGAGCGCCTGGGTGGCTCAGATGGTTGAGCGTCTGCCTTTGGCTCAGGTCATGGTCCTGGGGTCCCGGGATCGAGTCCCACATCATGCTCCTGACTCAGCGGGAAGCCTGCTTCTCCCTCTCCCTCTGCCTCTCCCCCTGCTCATGCACTTCTCTCTCTCTGTCTCAAATGAATAAATAAAATCTTAAAAAAAAAAATTTGAGGAAATCTGAATAAAATATAGACTTTATTTACTAATAAATCATCAATATTGGTTTCTCACTTGTCACACATATACCATAATCATGTAAGATGTTAATAATATGGGAAACTTGGTATGGGGTATGTGGGAACTCTCTGTACTATCTTGCTAATTTTTCCGTAAATCTAAAACTATTCTAAAATTAAAAATTTATTCTTTAAAAAAAATCTGTCTAAACATCTCTCCTGCTGATTTGGCCTGGTCATTATATCACTCAGAATCTTTTTGAAATATTAATTGGAAAATTAGTGTAAGCTGGGAAAAGTAACACATTAGCATAGTTTCATTTTATATATTATTTCCCTAATCTAGTAACCCCATAGTGAGCCCAAACTACGGTTTGGAGACCTCCTCAGAAGGCCCTAAGTAATGGTAAGGATTCCCCTAATTCATATGCCTGTTTCTCACCCCTTGGGGTCAGTTAGCAATGCACACACAGGTAAATGAAGGCACATGGCTATTGTACTGGAACACTAGTTATGGGGTGTGTAAAAAATATAATTTAAATTTCAAAATAATGTACACTCTCGGGGCACCTGGGTGGCTCAGTCATTAGGCGTCTGCCTTCGGCTCGGGTCATGACCCCAGGGTCGCGGGATCGAGCCCCGCATCAGGCTCCCTGCTCAGAGGGAAGCCTGCTTCTCCCTCTCCCTCTTCCCCTGCTTGTATTCCCTCTTTGCTGTGTCTCTCTCTGTCAAATAAATAAATAAAATCTTAAAAATAATAATAATAATAATATACACTCTCTTCTGCATATAGATTGATATATACTACAAACTTATGCTTATATGTTCTTTATATCACTGTTTTTCAAGGGTGTGTAGATGCTGCTATGATCAATAAACACATTTACATGGATTGGAAGAGGATGGAGGAGACGTCCTATCTATGCAAAGTCCCACCCTCAGCGCCTTGCCTCAGCTCTCCGGCTTCCGACCTCCAGCTTCTCTCCCAAATGAGTTCCCTTCTGTCCATGTGTGCATTAGCGCTCTTTGCCTGCTTCCCCTGCCCCAGCCTCTGCCCCAGTGTCTGCACCTGCGGGCGGTTAGCAACTTCAATGGTACTTGTCCACTCACAATGCATCCTAGCCCAGCTCTGCTCTCAGAACTCTTCTGTTTCAAGTTTTTGGTGCTCTTCTTAATTTTTCTCCCCAGAAACTGAAAATCTGAATGAGCACTTGATTTTCCTAATGTTAATGTGGATTTATTTTGAAAAGTTGTCCAGGATTTTTATTTTTAATTTTTTTAAAGATTTTATTTATTTATTTGAGATAGTGAGAGCGGGCGAGCATGAGTGGGGGGAGGGGCAGAGGGAGAAGGATAAGCAGACTCCCCGCTGAGCAGGGAGCCGGACTCCGGGCTTGATGCTAGGACCCCTGGATCGTGACCTGAGCCCAAGAGAGATGCTAACCGACTGAGCCACCCAGGCACCTCATCTAGGATTTTTAGACTGCTTCCTGTCATATAACCTCAGATTTTCAAAACATACATATACCCTGCTATGACTACTTTTCTCTCTTTTAACATGTCTGATTTGAAAGAATGAGGTAGGAAGGACAAAACTAACATTTCACAGAAAAGGAAAGATGGATGTCCCATAAATTTATGAAAATACGCTCATCGTTATTAGTAACTAGGGAAACGCAAATCAAAACAATGAGATACCATTTTATACCCACCACTGGCAAAAAACAAAAACAAAAACAAAAACAGATGGACTATACCAAGTGTTGACAAGAATGTGGAATGGGGGGGTGGTGCCTGGATGGCTCAGTCGGTTGGACATCTGCCTTTGGCTCAGGTCATGATCCCAATGTCCTGGGATAAAGGTCTGCATCGGACTCCCTGCTTCTCGGGGAGCCTGCTTCTCCCTGTCCCTCTGCCTGCCACTCCCCCTGCTTGTGCTCTCTCTCTCCGTCAAATAAATAAATAAAATCTTAAAAATAAAAAAGAATGTGGAATGGGGAACCATGGGAATTTGCAAACACTCCCAGTAGGAGTATAAATTTGTATAATCACTTTGCATTGTTTGTTAGTATCCTCTAGTAAGGTTTAGGATGTGCATGCCCTGTGACCAAAGAATTCTATCCTCAGATATAAGAATATTCCCAGCAGTATTATTCATAATGGCAAAAAACCTGGAAGCCCTATAGATGTCTATCAACGATAGAATGAATAAAGGAATTGTAGTCCATTCACACAATGAAATGTTATTCAGAAAAAATTGGAGGGGGTGGGGAGATAAACAACATCTACACACATTTTTAGTTTTGGGTAAATCTAAGGAAAGAACTAAGTACCAGAAGAATATATAATAGTATGGAGTTACACTTATTTAAAGTTCAAACACAGGAAAACCATGTTGGGTAAATACATATATCTTCATATAGCCATATATATGTGAGAAAATATGAAAAATAAAACAGCAATTAACACAAAATTCAGGATTATAATTGCCTAGGGTAAGAATGCAAGGGGTACACAGTGGGTTTCAAAGTACTGGTAAAATATTATATCTTTAGCTGGATGGAGGGTACATGAATGCCTATTTTATTATTCTTGAAACTATATAAATGTTGTGTATATCTATCGCAAGTTGAGATCCCTGGAAAGCAGCCTCTGTCTTGGAGATTATCATGCAACAGATCTATCTGGGAACGTTCTTAGGATCAACACACCTATTGAAGGGAACTGAAGAAAGCAGGACTGGACTGGGAAGAAGTTATCAGCAATACAGGTCTTCTTTTTTTTTTAAGATTTTATTTATTTATTTGACAGAGAGAGAGATAGCGAGAGCAGGACCACAAGCAGGGGGAGTGGGAGAGGGAGAAGCAGGCTTCCTGCTGAGCAAGGACCCTGATGTGGGGCTCAATCCCAGACCCTGGGATCATGCCCTGAGCCAAAGACAGACACTTAATGACTGAGCCACCCAGGCGACCCAGCAATACAGGTCTTAGTGAGGGTCACAACCAACCATATAGGGAGTTTTGAAGCTGGGATGACCCTTCAGAGTTGTCCTGATTTGGTAATGGGGGCTGGTCTTCATATACCCACACCCGGTCATTGGATACAAACCACCCTTGGGAAAAGGTCTTGACCTTGAGCACAGCAGCTCTCTTCAGCCAAGGCCACACAGGGGAGGTCACAGTGGAGGGCTTCTTGCTGGCCAAGCTCCTAGCAGCTGGGACTAGGTCCGTTGTTCGTGAAAGGGATCGGACAGCACATCCCAGTGTTCACAACATTGTTTTATGTGGGGTATTTTTCACAATAAAAATTGTTTAAGAGGAAAGAAAGTAAGGCAAGGAGGCCAAGAAGCACAAGGAAATTGTTTAGGAGTGGTACAGAGTGAGGTAGGATGAGGGATAAACTAAGCCAAAAATTAGGAGTGTCTGTCCATGGAGTTGCACACAGGCTTTCTCCTGGTAGAGGCGAAACCAGTGAATCAGAGGTGATTTGGTACTATAACAAAGACTATTATGATTAACAGATAGAGAAGAGTCAGCTTCATGGGGTGAGTGAGTTTGACAACTCCCAGGAAGTTCATGTTGCATATTGAGCCCTGCTTGTCCCCACCTGACTGTGAAGGACAGATGTGGATAAGGACTTTTCTTTTTTTAAAAGAGTTATTTATGTATTTGAGGGGGGAGGGGGAGACGGGTTGAGAGAGGGAGAGAAGCAGACTCCCCACTGAGCACAGAGCCTGATGCGGGGCTCAATCTCAGGACCCTGAGATCATGACCTGAGCTGAAATCAAGAGTCGGATGCTTAACCAACTGAGCCACCCAGGTGCCCTGAGGACTTTTATTCAGAGTCTGGGAAATCTCTGTTCCTTTGACTCTACAATGGAAGGGGGGTCCACTAGGGTGCTGAAAGATATCTCAAGAATTCTGGTCTTAGAATATATTCAAATGACAGTACAGGTCACTTTGTCTTCTCTCCTGCTGCCAACCATCTCAGCATAATAAATGCTACTGTTTATTAGTTATTTACTATAAATCAGGCACTGTTTTTACATGCTTTAGGCGTATTATCTCATTGATGCTTCGCAACAGCCGAATGGTAGGTACTAGAATTATTTCCATTTTATTGATAAGAAAACTGAGGCACAGGTGAATTAAATCACATATTCAACATCTCAAGCCAGGAAGCAATAGGACGAGCATTGAATTTAAGCAGCTTGGCTCCAGAAACCATCTGAACACTCAATCCCCTCCCAGGCATGGGAAAGGGTCAGTCTCGGTGGTGACAGCTCTGTGGACACACAGCTCGCTGGGCAGGGATGCAGCTTGACTAATGGTCTGAGTGCTGAGATGCCGACACGGCCTGCCTCCGTCTGAATACCTGAGGGCCTGGAGAAGATGGTGCTCACGTCACAAGGCACAACACCGCCACGAAACGCATGTAGAGTTAACATGTGTGGAGGGGTTAGAACCAGGCCTGGCCCAAGCTGTTCTCAGCACCTATGTGCTATTATTATCTCTTCCTGGGTAGTAGGACATTGTTCGCCCTGACAATTCCATTCCGGCCTTTCTTTTTTTCTCCAGGAAATCAGGGTGTGGTTCTGGGATCAAAACCATTCAGAGTAACAAAGTAATTTAGCTATTCTGTCTGGAAGGAAGGCAAGTATTCCAAGCTCATGGGTAGGCTCGTTCTAATACCTGGAAACACATCAAAGTTTATGATTTTTTTTAAGTTTTATTTTTTTAAAAGATTTCATTTATTTATTTGCAAGAGAGAGAATGAGAGGGAGAGAGAGCACATGAGAGGGGGGAGGGTCAGAAGGAGAAGCAGACTCCCCACTGAGCAGGGAGCCCGATGCGGGACTCGATCCCGGGACTCCAGGATCATGACCTGAGCTTTGTCGCTTAACCAACTGAGCCACCCAAGCGCCCCAAAGTTTATGATTTAAAAAACAGAGGACAGGGGCGCCTGGGTGGCTCAGTCGTTAAGTGTCTGCCTTCGGCTCAGGTCATGATCCCAGGGTCCTGGGATCGAGCCCCGCATCGGGCTCTGCTCGGCCAGAGGCCTGCTTCTCCCTCTCCCACTCCCCCTGCTTGTGTTCCCTCTCTCGCTGTGTCTCTCTCTGTCAAATAAATAAATAAAACCTTAAAAACAAAAACAAAAACGGAAGACACCATCACACTCTCTGGCTCTCTGGTTCCTTCTGTGTAAAGTGTGTTGGCAGTTGTGGATTCAGTGGGTGGCCTCTAAATTGGCTTGTGCAGAGCTGTGGTACTCCCCTGAGGCGTCGCAGGCCTCCCAGGAGGGGTGGGGGAGAAGCTGTGCCGGCAGGACCCTCGCCCCACACTTCAACCAGACTGGCTCCAATTGCATCTGTTTTTGGTATTTTCATAACGGTAAGAACAGAATACCTGTCGGTGGAGACAGAGCAGAACTACAAGCCCTTGACTAAAAATGTAATCAAGTTCTTCCGGAAGTAAGAGTCTCAAAGCTCCTCTTTTTATAATTAAGGGCATAGCCATTAAAATATTATACCCTTGTCTTTAATTCATGACAAATCCAAATGAGCACAATCTGGGAAGCAGCAGGGAGGGGAATGAACAAATTGAATTAATTCTTGCGCTGAATATTAATGTGCCACAGAAAGGGCGATGCTTTGCAAATCTAAGACAGTTAGAAAATATGTTTATCCTTTAATATTTAAACAGCTCTGTGTCTAAGAAGTACTCTTCTGATGGCAGATGTGTGTGTTGGGCAGGCCCACTGGAGTTGACTTATTCCTTAGACACAGGAGGCACAGGAGGCTTAGGGCCCATGATACTTTTAGGGCCCCACAGAAGTTTTAATTTTCATTTCTTTTAGAATCAGAAGAAAAAAAATATATATATTACTATATAGAATAATGAATTCAGCCTGGATTAATTCATCTTTGTACCAGCACAACCATAAAATGTAATTTTTAACTTTTTTTTTGGAAGAAGGATTCCACAAAGGCAAACAGGCCAGCAGCCCACTAATGTCATAATGTGTCCCTGATGTCTCCAGCTCACAGCAGTACAAGGTCCCGAAGGGGACCCGCCGTACAGGGCCCAAGCCCCATCCCCACTCCACGTCCCGCGCCACATCCCTGTGACATGGTCTGGGAACTTAATCCCATCAGCTGCCTTCCCTGTTTGTCCTGATTAATCCCTTGACTACTGTGTTATGAGCACTTTCTGTGGCGGCAAGTCAACAGGGTGGGCATCACCTGGGACTTGTTAAAATGCAGCCCCACCCACGACCTAATGAATCAGAATCTGCCTTTTCACAAGGTTCTGAGCGAGTCACAAGCACATTGAAACTGGGAACGCCCTGGACCAGGCCAGATGATTCAGCCCCAGGGAACTGAGGCCTGCGGGGAGAGAAGGCTGCCCCTGGCACCAGGTCAACGCCGGAGGTTAACTGGGGATCTCCTGAAACCAGGGGGGGAAGCAAGGGTAACCAGGGGTGAGGATGAGGGTGGGGGAAGCAGGAAGGAAGCAGGAATGGAATGCAAAACAAAAGGTTAACTTCTGTCTGTTCAAAAGCCTGAACAGCGAGACGAGAGGCACAGTGAGCCCAGCATGATGGTGCTCCAGACGCTGAAGGGACAGTGCAGTGGAATCAACAGTTACCGGCACCCATTCTCCTCCCGGAGCTGGGCCCAGACGAGGGCACCCCGCATCCCCCGCCCCCGGGCCTGTGCCCTGAGCTTCGTGGGGGGCCCTGGCGAGGTGACCAGCAGCACACGGAGCCGTGGTGCACGGCGTGGCCAGAATCAAGGCAGGGATCGGGGACAGCAAAGAGCAGCTTTCACAGAACCGTCTTAACGGGGATGTCAAACTGTGTCCTAGACGAAGGGGGGCGCTAGCTCTTAGGTTACAGTAATTTTCACCTGTTTCTTTTTATTAAAGAGGTGGTTACATTGTTTTTATTTTTATTTTTTAAAGATTATTTATTTATTTGAAAGAGAGAGAGACGGTGAGAGAGGGAACACAAGCAGGGGGGTGGGAAAGGGAGAAGCAGGCTTCCTGCCGAGCAAGGAGCCCGATGTGGGACTCGATCCCAGAACCCCGGGATCATGACCTGAGCCGAAGGCACACGCTTAACGACTGAGCCACCCAGGCGCCCCACATTGTTTTTATTTATTTATTTAAGATTTTATTTATTTATTTGACAGAGAGACACAGCGAGAGAGGGAACACAAGCAGGGGGGATGGGAGAGGGAGAAGCAGGCTCCCCGCGGAGCAGGGAGCCCAACGCGGGACTCGGTCCCAGGACCCCGGGGTCATGACCTGAGCCAAAGGCAGACGCCTAACGACTGAGCCACCCAGGCGCCCTCCCACATTGTTTTTAAA